AAATATCCCGAGTAGAGAAACTAGCAGCATTTCAGTATAGGAAAATATCATCGAGAATACAAGGAGAGTTGATGGCCTATTTTAGGCATCCATCATAAGTTCAAAGTCTAATCTACATGGGCTTGACCCAAATTAACAATACATCTCCAAGCTAATGAGCGAACCGACCCGATAAATAAGTAATGAGCAAGGGGTGACTCCCGCTCGTGAGACTGCGTCATGGGCCTAGTTGGGCCTAAGCTCGGGGATAACGGGCCAATGACACTGGGCCCGATCCATTATCCCAACAGAAACCAATTTTTTGTTTATAGGTTATCCATGCTTCTACTTTTATACTACGTAGTTCAATGTGATATTTATTTGTAGGATAATGAAAAGTTATCAAATTCGTCACCGGCCAATAAATACATGTAACATTGCAATGTACAAAAATAATATACACACAAAAGTTTTTAAACTTACTGTGTAAGGTACTACGTCCATGGCTCCATCACATTCAATTTTGTACATGAAAGAATGATGATGTTATTTAGAAAAATGAAATTATGTGGCTGATTTTGAATACATAAAGTGAGAAGACAATATTTCAACTATTCAAACAATATCAAATATGATCTCAAATAAAAGTGATGAGACAAACAAAAAAAGTAAATGAGACAATGATAGAAGAGCGAATAGAGTACTATGTTTTGTGTAAACTAGTACTTCCTCTGTCCCCTTAATTTTGTCTTATTTTATCCTTTTCATCCGTTCCATTAAGTTTGTCGCAAACCATATTTGGTAATATTTGGCTGGTTACATTTTATTTTTACTTATTCACATTTTATCAATTCAATATCAACTACACAATTCTACTTTTACTTAAAAGTTGTGTCACACTCTTTTGTCCCAAACATAGTAGGACGGAGGTAGTACTATTTTGTGGTGTAATTTATGCACAATAGATTGTATACAGTAACATTTTTTGAGATATATATCGTGTAATATAAAGGAAAGAATTAATTTATCTAGTAGTTTTGCATAAATTATCTCAGGAGATATTTAATGAAAAAAGTGTATATTTCTATATTTAAATGTGCTCTTCAATGCTAGTTTGCACTTTGTTGACGTCAAGGTCACATTATTCTACGGAGTAAAAAAACAAACACGTCTCCAATCTTCATATTTTTTCAACCCTGTTTTTTCTAAAAGAAGTTAGCGCGGACATACGTAAGAAATTAAAAATTAAACAGAAATTGTCCTAAATGTGAGTAAAAACGTTTTAAAATTCTAAAATAAGAGTATCATATTTTTTATTCTCTGAATAGGAGTAATTTGTCAAGTTTGGGAAAAATGTCATGTTTTAAAGTCTAGTAATTTCAAACTTGGCAACAAATTACTACTATTCAATGAATAAAAAACATGATAGTCCTATTTTGGAATTTCAAAACTTTTTTACTCCTATTTAAAGAATTCTCTCGCGTTAAAATATCAAATCAATCATATTTCCAAAATAGGAGTGTTGTATTTCCCTCTTAAATGGTGGTACGTTACCGACTTATCACGTCACCTAACTATAAACATGACAATATACTTTAACAGATAACTATAAACATGACAATATACTTTAACAGGTATCAATATTTTCCAAACTTAACAACATTAACTCATATTTTGGAAATAAAATCAAAAGCCCTTCATATTTGAAATTTTCTCACACTTTTACTCCTATTTAGTAAAATTTCTTTAAAATAAACCATTAGCCATAAATTAAGAATACTTCACCTTCGTGAAATACAAGCGTAGTTAAGTTTATTTACGGGGTCAATTATTATACTTTCTAGTGTTACAAAACGATTAAATTAACATTGTTAACTATGCTGTAAATTAGAACAGTACTTGTGTTTATTTATTTATTTATTTATTTATTTATTTATTTATTTATTTATTTATTTATTTATTTATTTATTTATATATATATATATATCGTGTTGATGGCTTGATGTTACATTTTTACTCCCTTTGTAAATTAAAAATTGCCAATTAATTTTCGTAAGAATTTCTCAACTCTTATCCCACCATTTATGGTAATTTATTTGGAAATAATAAAAAGAAATTGCCAACTAATAAGAATGCCTTTTTATTTCATCGGGATTTTTCTAGTTCCGAGCTAGCCGATTCTTGGTTTCGATTCTATGTCGTCGCTTTCAGTTATGAGGCTTTAGTCTATTTTGCAAGAGAATACTTTTAAAGAATGGAACCACAACAATTATTTTTATTCTGCTGAAGTCACTAGTTGTTCCCATTTGATGACGTGAGTTTATTCAACTTTTTCACTTAAGACTAACTTTTGATGTCGTGTGTTAAATTGTATAATAATAAGAAAAAGTAAGATTAAAATTAGTTTTTTGATTGTATTAGCTGAAGTAACTGCAAAGGATCATTTTACTTGTTCTCATATACTTGTTCTCTTAGGTTTTGACACGGGTGTTAAGAGGAAAATAATACGAGTAATGTACAAGGTGTAGTTATTGTAATAAATGAAAAAAATAGGAAAGAGAATGATGGTATATTGAAAAAAGTTTTTAAAAATGAAAAAGGACAACTATTTAAGAACAACCCAAAATAGAATAAGAGACAAGTATTGAGAGCAAATTGCACCAAATCCCCCTCTGTTATATAATCATGCATACAACCCCTTGTGTTTTTTAAAAAGCATGAAAACCCCTTATGTTTTGATAAATCACGCTCTCCTTCCCATATGCAGATAAAAATGTAAAGATTGTTTCTATTTTATGAATTTTCACTTATACCCATTTTATTATGACATAACAGTCGGCTACAGCATGACTAAAACTTAGTCAAATTCCTGTTAATAAATCATTCTTAAACTCCATACACTATTCAATTTGTTGGAAGGTAAAGATATAGAAGCTTGCTTATTCCAATACTTGCAAGTATTTATGGGTGTGTTTATGCAATGATTTAGAGCTTGTTTGGTAACACTGGAATAGGATGAATCGGCTATTTCTGCTGATATTTATGAAGATCTGGGCTACTAGCTAAAGTGGCTGTATTGGCTAATTCTGCCGATTTATTAAAAAATTATATATAAAATATATATACTCTGTATATATACTCTGTATATTTATGAAGATCTGGGCTACAAGCTAAAGTGGTTGTATTGGCAAAATGTGTATATACTCTGTATATAACACCGCACGTAATGTGTGTCAGAGTGTACAAGAAGCAAAATGTGTACACGCAGCTAAAATGGCCCTCTTAGGTGTATGCAAAATGTAACTTGTTAAGACAAGTCTAAATGTAACTCGCGTATAAAAAGATGTAACTCGCGCATAAGAAGATCTAACTCCATATACTATCAAATGTAAAGAATGAAAGCAAGGAGTCTAATTGCTCAAATTAATTTACGTAAATAGTCAATATGTTTTGTTTTTAGTATTAAGGCCATAAAAATGTTTCGAAGAAAAATTTTTTGCCAAAGAGATAAATTTTTTTTCCAAAAAAATCATTTTTGTTTGCAAAAAATTATTAGTTTTTGTTTCAATAGTTGAAGTTTATTTTGTGATGTAATACGTGTTATGAAAAAGTGTAACTCACGTTCATGGAAGATCTAACTTAGATGTATGCAAAATGTAACTTGTTGAAGCAAGTCCAAATGTAATTAGCGCATAAGAAGATGTAACTCATGCACAAGAAGATGTAACTCCAACTATCAAATGTAATTTCAAAAATTGTCTATAAACATAACTCAACATATGAAAAATGTAATATAATTTCATGTTTTATGAAATTTAAATTGAAATAAACAAATTTAATGTCTTCAAAACACTAAAAACATATCAAAGAGATAAGAAATATACTATAGAAAAAAAATTATGAATATGAAATGTAAAGAATATTACAGAAAAAATATATTCTATTTTAATTTCAATTAAAGATAGAAAGAAGTAGTAAAATGTATGATTATGAAATACAATATACTAATTTATGTGGATTAATAAAATTTTGTAAAAATTATGTAAAGAAAAAAAATGTAAATTCAATTGTATTTTAATTAGTTAAAGATAAAGATAAGTAAAATCACAAATAAATTTTTAGTATTTTGATGTAGAAGAGAAAAAAATTGAAGAAAAATAGAAAAGAAAAATAAAGAGAGAAAGCACTAACATGGAGGAAAAAGAAAGAAAGCTTCCGTAATATTGCACTTCATGGAGTTTGGGGAGGAAAAAAACGGCACCGTATTAAGACCGGCATACCATGCGCATGGTATGTCGGTTGCACAGTATAATTTGTGGTAACTTGCTAATGGAGTCAATTGAATGTTTTTACAATGTTCGAGGGTTTGACTATTTTTTTAAAGTGTGGGGACCTAATTAACTTTTTTTCTATTTCTTTTTATGTTCATAACAATTAGCGCACCCCCTGTTTTTCGGAGTAGATTATTTTCTTGTAAAGAGTAAGGCCCCGTTTGGTAACCTTGTTTATCAGTTTATCAGACTTGTGAGCTAATTTTTTTCACCAAGCACGTCAGTTTTGATTTCGTGTATTAAATTGCGTAATAATAAGAAAAATTAAGGTTGTAGTTAAATTTTGATTGTATTGGTTGAAATTACCGTAGATGATCATTTTAGTTATTTTTTCATATAATTGTTTCTTTATTTAATTAATAAAGTATATTTAAATATTTCTTTTCATGAATCAGCAAATCTGTCAATCCAGACACTTCAACCAACTCTTCATAAATTTCTTTTGAATCAGCCAATGCAGCCAATTCAGATATTACCAAACAGACTCTAAGAAGGTGCTCGGGTCTGATTCTTAAAACTGTCACTGTTCCTTTAGAAAATATAAACAAAAGTTGGGATGGTTGTGTGAAATTGTAGAAGTGCTTCTAGTGCTTTAATTCACTCTTAGAAGCTGGTTTTTGAGAAGATGAGGAAGATTAGATTAATTTCAGAATAACACCGTACTCATTTGCTTCAATTAGTTAGTAATCGGCTACTCAACTGTTGTGGGATTCTATTTATCTCAATTCCTTGGGACCTGAGCATTCATTCATTTCACATTCATAGTAGACCCTATTCTCCACTCACTCTGCTCCATTGGCCTCCCCAGAATACAATTCCATTTTCTTCCATTCTCTTTTCTTTCCGGGTTGCTTTATGGGTCCTTTTCACGATTCCGGCCGTTTTGTCATTCTACTTACACTAAATCATTATTATTATTATGTGGATGGTGATGATTGTATCATCCCAACCCCTTTTATCCCCATTTATACTTCCTGATAATTTGTATTTGCAATTTCAAGCTTCATTATCCATGCCTAAGCCAGGTCAGTGAGCCAGCCAGATCTCTTCCCTTCATTTTTCTTACAGTATGAAAACTCTTATAGTTATTCATTCTTTTGTTATCTAGTGTTTATTATATTTTATACTACGTACTACGTAATTCAGTGGTTTCCATTCTTGCTTTTGTTAAGAGGAAAAGACGTGTTTGCAAATGTGAAATAGAAGGATCTGGTGATTTAAATAAACTTTCATTTTCTCAATTGCCAAATAAGACTGAGATATAACTCAAGAGTTATTGAGAGTTAGGTTCCACTGTAAAAGTTTAAGCTTAACAAGATGAATAGTATTTCTTTGCTGGTATTCCTATATCAGTATATCTCACTAATGTAGTAATGTGTGATCAAGGATAAAAAGTTGGTATTACGAAAATAGACACTTTGTTCTTATTTAAAAATGAAAAAATGACATGTACGGAGTATATTACTAATAGAGTTTCATCGGACAAAAATATGACTATTAATGTTTTGGACAAAATTATGACTAGTCATTATGTATGAGTAACCGGACAAGAGTTACTATAGTGTATTTCAGAGTGACAAGTCATTGGTAGATGATGTGTCATTGAGAACTAGTCACTGAATATGCCACTTTTTGGAAAATCTTAAAACAAGTCATATTTTTGTCTTTTGAATTTAATTTAGTAATATTCATGGAAAAAGGCCTTTAAAAGTCCATGTTATTTTGACTAAGCCTAGGACCGATTCGATTCCTAGGCTAAATAGATGGAACCGTTTGAAAAATATCAAATTTTAATAAATGTTCGGTTCTTATAATTTTTTATAGAAATGATATGGAACCGAACCATTCTTAACGGTTCGGTTCTTGTCATTTAATCGTTCCTAGTTTTTAATAAAATTATTACAAATCACCGTTAAATTTGTACCGAAAAAACATTCAACATTTGAAATTACAAGAAATATAGATATGTTTACCATCATTTCAAACCTCAAAAGTTGAGTTTAAAACATAATTACATACCAAACTTAAATTTTTAGTAAATAAAACAAAACAAGATATTTACTACAACCAATAATAATGACCTTGAATCAGCAACGTAATTAATAAGACAAAAAAGTTCATTTATCTCAAAAGTTCACAAGCAGAGCATTCAGTTCCGACCATCTGAGCCTCTAATAAGAGAGGCCCAAGAGCCCTGTTAAAATAAATAATAATGTTAAATACTTAATTGACCAAACTAAAATAGTCAGTGTAATATTCAAATAACTACGTAAATACACAGTAAAACTTTGTCATCTTTCCTTTTTAGGACGTCCCAAAAATTTTTGCCACTTTTCCTTATAATCAATTATTTTGTGGTTTCTATTATTTCTCTCCTCTGCACAAACCTCAACCACACAGTTTATACTTTATTATTCTCCGTGCCGGACAATTTTGGCAAAGTTTTAAGAGACGGAGGTAGTATATACTCATTTTCATTTTCATTTACCCCAGTGCCACAAAGGCTCCCACCTACGGTGGGGTAAGGGGGGGTCGGATGTACGCAGTCTTACCCCTGTACTAAAGCACATAGAGACTGTTTCAGGATGACCCATAGTGAAAATCGCGTCCAAAATTGCATGGACTGACTGCCGTTCCATAACAAAGAAGCGCAGACAGTTTAGTGAGTCATTTTGCTTTATTCCATCATAATCTCAAGCCAAAAAATAATGAATCTTTGGCTCCATTGCAAATGATAGAAAAGAGGTAGTATATACTAATAAGAAATATATAATATTTTAATTATTATATATAATAGTTCCTTAACGATTCTAAGTACATATTTTTTCAGGAACCGAGAACCGAACCGTTAATAAGGAATACGAACCGAACCATTAGCAAGTAACTAATAAATGTTGGAACCGAACTGAATCGGGTCATAACGGTTCGGTCCGGCTTGGTTCTCTGGTTCATGGTTCGAAAGTCCCAGCCCTAATTTTGACTTTTGGGTTTCTCTTTATATGAAAAATTATAGAAAAACAAAACAACACTTTTGTAATTAATTTGAGTAAATAATGAGACAACTGATATTTCATCTATATCTTTTGATTTTTCACACAAGACTTCTCAAAGTATAATGTAATTTCTATATGTGTTGGCTTTCTTTGAAATTTTCTGAGATTTCCGAGAAATTCCTTCACAGCCTATATGGATATACGAGACCTCAAGATACATAAAATTCTGATGAAAATTTTGGAAACATCAAGATATTTTCATTTCCCACAACAGAAATGCATGGAGAATGTAAATAAATGTTATAATCAAAGTTGACAAGTGATAACATGCAACTGGTTCCACCCTATTTCTTTCATTTTTTAGTCTTTTTGGTACATTAGAGGATATTGTATGTCACAATGGGGATTGCTTTGTATTATTTGGGTGAGCACCATGGGAAGCTGTTTTTAGTGGTCACTGGGGCTAAGCAATTCCATTCAAAGTTCTATTTCATGCAAAACATATAGAGCATGTATACAGCTAATCGCTCAATCTTGTTACTTTGTTACTAAAATTCACAGTACAATGAAGATGTTTTGATTTCTCCTAGTCCTCTCTCTGTAACTAACTTAACTTTGTTCATCGCTTTGTACAAAATGTAAGTCTATGCGGTGTCTTTGCCCTTTTTCATTACACTTTGTAATTACTAGCCTGTACATCAGTGGATGTGCTTCAATGACTTATTTAGTTGTGATATTTTTTGCCTAGAATTGCTAAAGATAAAATTATCACTAGGTGATAGAGAATGTGCCATACTGCCATGTACAAGACATTCTCTTTCTGGAAGTTTTCCTTGAATCAATCAGTTCACCTGCTTATGCTCATGGTTTTCTCCACGAGTTGTCATTCATTCGCTAAGCCTAAAGTCGAAGGTAACATCATAAGATTTATAGCACTTCCACAGGATTCCATTGGTTTCAAGATTTTAATTTATATTTGTAGCTTCATGGGAGTTGGTCAATGCCTTTTCATTTAACCCCCCTGCTGTTTTATATCAGCATATGGATTTATATACTAATTTGGTGAGGGCATTGCAATCCTACTAATGCACAAGGTTTAGTTTCCCTTCACTGATAGACCACTCAATGCCAGAATCTAGCAAGGAGGCACAATTTGCAGGAAGACAGTCCTACGACTCTTTCTTTGATTAATGATGAATTCAGATGATTACAACTGAGAACAAGACCTTCTTTAAATAGTAAATACTAGCCTAGGAAACCCACTACTCCACTACCCACTACTCCACTATGTTAGTTGGAGAAGTGCCAGGAACTTACTACTAGAATTAAGCAAAGACTTCTTGACTCAATCCTAGGACGAATAAAAGAAAATACAATAATTAAAATGCTGACTCAATAAAACTAACTGAAAATCAATCTCTCTTCCTCCTGACATACGTAACCCAAGGCTTACTCAACCCAGCCTCTGCCGGTACTGTATCATTGCTCACCCCCTGAAAACTCGACTTGTCCTCAAGTCGAAAGTCAGGAAACTGCTGCTTCAAAAGGTCGTATTCCTCCCAACTTGCTTCTTCCGGAGGGCGATCAATCCATTTCACAAGGACTTCAAGTATAGCGGAATCACCGAATTTCTTCCACTGATGTGCAATGACCGCTTCGGGCTTCACATTAAACTCAAAGGAATCGTTGATAGGCAGTGAGGATGGAGTTTGAAAAATGGATTGACCTCTGGCTGGTTTGAGTAGAGAAACGTGGAACACTGGATGTAGTTTCGTCCCAGCCGGCAGATCGAGCTCATAAGCAACAGACCCAATGCGTTTCAGCACTTTATATGGCCCAAAAAACCTAGGCGACAGCTTTTGATTGATCCTCCGAGCTAAGGATTTCTGGCGGTAAGGCTGCAGTCGTAAGAAGACCAAATCGCCCACATAAAAAATGACTTCTCTCCTGTGAGAATTAGCAACCTTTTTCATCTGAGCTTGGGCTTTCAACAAATTCTGCCGGAGAACCTGAATAACCTCATCCCTTGCTACTAACTGTGCTTCTAGGTCAGGCAATCGTGTTTCTCCGCGAACAAAAGGCAGGATTGGTGGTGGGTTTCGCCCATAAACGATCTTGAAGGGAGACATACCTGCTGCTGTGTGAAAGCCTGTGTTAAAAGAAAATTCAGCCCAAGGCAGGAAATTGCTCCATTGACGAGGCTTCTCCATGGCGAAACAACGAAGGTAGGTTTCTAAGCAGCGGTTCACCACCTCGGTTTGTCCGTCCGATTGTGGATGGTAGGCCGAGCTCATCCTTAGCGTCGTCTGGCTCAAACGAAACAGCTCAGTCCAAAAAGAGCTCAGAAAGACCGGATCCCGATCCGAAACAACCGACCTTGGAATGCCATGTAACCGAACTATATCCTTGTAGAAAAGGTTGGCTACTGTTATTGCTGAATATGGGTGCGCCAGACCAATGAAATGAACATATTTGCTGAGGCGATCAACCACCACTAAAATCACATCGAAACCTCCTGATTTGGGCAACCCTGATAGAAAATCAAGGGAGATGTCTTCCCATATTTGCACAGGCACGGGCAAAGGTTGCAGTAGACCTGCTGGAGCTAAAGTCTCATATTTAGCTTTTTGACAGACAGTGCAATCCTGAATATGACGACGAACATCAGCTTTCTGATTTGGCCAATAGAATTCCGAAGAGACCCGTTTCAAGGTTTTGACGAAACCACCATGTCCTGCAGCAGGGGAGTCGTGTGCTTCGACCATGATTTTGTGCCGTATGGCCTCTGCATCCGGTACCACCAATCGGTCTTTAAAGAACAGCTTCTCGCCGACTATGGAAAAGAGCGGGTAAGCGGACTGATCTGCCCGTTTTTCTGCCAATATTTTGCTGATGAAAGAATCCCTTTGCATGGCCTCGGTCCAATTTTTGAGTTCCTGGATGACAGGAATTGCTAACGCCAACAACTCAGCCTGTTGTGGTCGCCTTGATAGGGCATCGGCGCCGGTATTCTTCTTCCCTAGTCGGTATTCGATGGTGAAATCGAAGGGCAGTAACTTAAGCAATAATCTCTGCTGTGAGTTTGTAGTAACACGCTGACTGAGGAGGAATTGGAGGCTCCTGTGATCAGTTCGGACTACAAATCTCGACCCCATAAAGTAATGTTTCCACTTCTGTAAAGCCAAAACCAGTGCAAGTAGTTCTCTATCGTAAGTAGACTTAAAGCGATTTGAGAAAGAGAAGCCCTTACTGAAATAAGCCACAGGATGACCAGACTGTAATAGCATAGCGCCCACTCCATCCGTTGATGCATCGCATTCCACAGTGAAAGGTTCACTGAAATTGGGAAGTCTGAGGACGGGCACTGTAGTGAGGGCGGACTTCAGCTTCTGAAACGCCTGTTCAGCCGTGGGGTTCCACCGGAAAGCGTTTCTTTTTGTCAAGTCAATCAAAGGACGAGCCAAGATGCCATATCCCTGCACAAAACGGCGGTAATAACCCGTTAACCCTAGAAAACCGCGCAACTCCTTGATCGTCTTTGCAACCGGCCAATTTGCAACGGCGGCAATCTTCTCTTGATCAACAGCGACACCGGCTGCGGAAACAATGTGCCCTAAGAACCCAATTTCCTGCTGGCCAAAAAGGCACTTTGTCGGTTTAGCAAAAAACTGATGTTGTTGTAGAAGCTGTAGGATGGTTTTCAAATGCTGAACATGCTGCTCTTCTGATGTGCTGTACACAAGAATGTCATCAAAGAAAACGACAACAAACTTGCGTAGGAAGGGTCGGAAAAGATCGTTCATAATTGCCTGAAATGTCGAAGGGGCGTTTGTGAGCCCAAATGGCATAACCAAGAACTCGTAGTGGCCTGAATGCGTGCGGAAGGCAGTTTTGTGAACGTCCGATGGATGAACTCTGATTTGATGATACCCTGAACGGAGATCAATCTTGGAAAATATACTAGCCCCATGGAGTTCGTCCAAAAGCTCGTCGATGACGGGGATGGGGTATTTATCTGGCACCGTAATCTGATTGAGCTTACGGTAGTCTACACACATCCTCCAGGAGTCATCTTTCTTCTTTACAAGTAGTACAGGACTAGCGAATGGACTGGTACTAGGTCTTACAAAACCGGTTTTCAGCAGCTCTGAAGTCTGTATTTCAATCTCCGTTTTTTGATGGTAGGGATATCGGTATGGGCGTAGGTTAGGTGGTTTGGCATTTGGGAGTAGGGGGATGGTGTGAGTTTGGTTTCTTGGCGGGGGTAGGGACGTTGGTGGTTGGAAGATGGTCTGGAAGTTCTGTAATACCTGCTGTACTGCATCCGGAATGTCAGATTTCGGCTCTATGCTGTCAGCTAAAGTCAGGGACATCGTGGCTAGGGAGGAGTTCTCTGGTTTGCTGTGTACCCCATGTATTTTGACCTTACGCCCTTGCTGATGAAATACTAGGAACAACTCCTTCCAGTTGGCCTTAACTGTGTCCAAAGAAGCCAGCCACTTGATACCTAGGACCAATTCAGCACTCCCCATTGCCAAGGGAAAAAAGTCTTGACGGATGATGATGCCGGGCATGTGTATGGCTACATCTGGACAGATTCGATTGCAAGTAATTACCTCGCCGTTACCGATGGTAACTCCGAAGGCCGGCACCTCTTCAGTTGGGAGACCTAATTCCACAGCCAAGGTGTTGGAGATGAAATTGTGGGTCGATCCACTGTCGACTAGTATGAGCACCGTCTTCCCTTTAATGGTTCCCTTTAATCGCATTGTGGCGGTAGCATTTTGACCGGAGATTTGATGGAACGAAATTTCAACTTTTCCGTCGTCTTCCCCCCTGATCGGCCCATTCTTCGCTGGCCTCGTCCACACTCTGCTCATTGTCATCTGTAAACTCCAATTGAGAAAATGAGGTTTTGCACTGATGGCCAGGGGTGAACTTTTCTCCACAATGGAAACAAAGTCCCTTCTCCCTTTGTGTTTGTCTTTCAGCGTCAGAAAGCCGGGTGGTTGGGGCGGAGGTCAGATTTGGGTTCGTGGTTGGACGTGGAAAAGGTTGTGGAAGTTTGCTATAGTTGGCCTGTAAGTGGGTTGGGTAGGTTTGGTATTTTGGACGGAGCCCAATTTGGACTCGAATTCAAGGGCTAGAGAGGCAGCCCTAAATACCGATCTTGGTGAATGAATTCTGACCTCAGCTTTCAATTCTTCTTTCAGTCCTGAGACGAAGGCTCCCAGAAGTGCGGATTCCGGCCAGTCCCTCACCCTAGCCGCACGCCTTGCGAACTCCATACGGTATTCAGTAACCGTACCAGTCTGTGTGATGGAGCATAGAGATTCATCGGGGATCTGGAAATCTGGAGGACCATAGTGTTCTTGAAATACATGGATCAAATCTTCCCACACTAGGATCTCCCTCTTGCCGTTGACCCAAGCGTAGAGATCCAGGGCGTCGCCTTCTAAGTACACCGTGGCGACTTCGACCTTCATGTCATCCGCTACATCGTAGTAGCGAAAGTATTTTTCCGCTCTGAGTATCCAGCCTCGGGGATCACCACCGTCAAACTTCGGGAAGTCGATGCGAGCCCGGGGACGTTGGCCAGTTTGATAACTCCGGCGACCCTCATCGTCGTCGTCGTAGTCGTCCCGAGAACGGTAAGGAGTGCGCTCAGGCCTGGGCGTATGAGGCGACCGAGCATGGTCCCGATGAATGCCCTCGTACTGATTGGCAGCTGACCTCACCCTCTGCCCTCTGTGATGTGAGCTCTCGGGGTTACCGTCGTGATTGTAATTGGATCCTTGGGGCTGAGAATTCGCGTCCAAGATGGCTACTTTGGCAACAACCGAATCCAAGACCTCCAGTTTAGAGGCAAGGGAAGCCAGCTGCTGCGCAATTTCAAGGATGGACGGGGGCTGGGTAGGAGGAGGTGGTGGGGGCGGAGGATTTGGATCTTGTGAATTGGAGGAATTGCGAGTTTGCACCATAATGGATCGAAAATCTCTGATACCAAAATGATAGACCACTCAATGCCAGAATCTTGCAAGGAGGCACAATTTGCAGGAAGACAGTCCTACGACTCTTTCTTTGATTAATGATGAATTCAGATGATTACAACTGAGAACAAGACCTTCTTTAAATAGTAAATACTAGCCTAGGAAACCCACTACTCCACTACCCACTACTCCACTATGTTAGTTGGAGAAGTGCCAGGAACTAACTACTAGAATTAAGCAAAGACTTCTTGACTCAATCCTAGGACGAATAAAAGAAAATACAATAATTAAAATGCTGACTCAATAAAACTAACTGAAAATCAATCTCTCTTCCTCCTGACATACGTAACCCAAGGCTTACTCATCCCAGCCTCTGCCGGTACTGTATCATTCACATTCCCATTATTAGATGTAATTGAAGATGAACTTCTAGTGAAACATAAAATAATTTTCTTACTTGATCCTTGAAGCTTCATATCTTTGCAAGAAATAGTAATATAGTTTTCACAGTTTGAGCAGTATTAAAATTACACTTTTCTATTCCTATTAGGTTAGATGAGGTCTAGATTTCCTATGCTTACCGGATCTAGATCCATTATTTCTTATTTAAGCATTGTAACAGACTCTAGAAATCATCAAGTTGAAGTTCAAAGTGTCACCAATATAAAAAGTAATTTATTATTCAACATTCACGTCAATTGAACAAAGGAAAATCATTAGGCGGAGTCTATTCATTTTCATAAACTTTTCTGCTTGCGTATACCGAAACTGTAAATGCTCATACGATTGTGTGAGTCTAATGTTCAACTTGCCAGGTGAAGCTCTGATAGAACTTCTTAAAGCTCTGAATGATTCCAATGGTAAAGTCATCGATTGGAATAACGATTTTGTGAGCCCTTGCTTCAGTTGGTCTCATGTCACATGCAAAAATGGAAATGTTATATCCCTGTAAGCGGCTTTTGAATCCCCCCCATTCACGTATCCTTTAAACCGAACGCCCTATTGCATAAACACTTATCACTTTGAACCCACTACTATTTAGTGATTAATCTTTCTAATGCATCAATTAATCAATTTGCAGGAGCCTATCTGCAAATGGATTTTCAGGAACACTTTCACCATCAATAACCAAATTGAAATTTTTGGTTAGCCTGTACGGTTGCACCACTTCTATAAATGTTTATATGCTTTATATTTAAAATACTGGAGTGCTTATTGTTAGAAATAATGATGTGGTGATGTGGGCTTGGGGCAGACTAGACCAAGCAAACAAATGAATATTATTTTATATTGCTTCTATGATCCTTAAGAAAATGTGTTTATGGCTTTACGCAATCCTAAACCCAGCATGGGAATAATGTAAACATATATGCTTAATATGCTTTATGTATATCTTAATAGTTCCTTTATTCATTGGAATTTAATCTTTGTTATAGCCAATTGAGGAGAAAAGAATGGTATGGTTGTAAAAGTAATGCCCTTTACTTCACATGTTCCATGCAGGGATTTGCACGACAATAATCTATCAGGTGTGTTGCCTGATTATCTTGGTGGTATGTTGAATCTACAAAACCTGAATCTGGCAAACAATAAATTCAGTGGCTCTATTCCACAAGCTTGGGATAGCCTTTCAAGTCTTAAGAATCTGTAAGTGAGGCATTATTTCCCACTCACACATTCAGCACTTAACATTTCTCTTGCTTGGCAAACATATCCTCACTGTTGATTTGTCTTGTTAAATTGGGCTGTGTTCTTCACATAAGTGTGTGTTCTATTAACAAACACTCAAATACTGTTTGTCTCAGGGATGGATCTAGATTACTCCAGATTAAATATATTCTAAGTTGGCTTTGTTTGTTAATTATTCTACGATAATGATTTAGATTATCAGAAAATTTAAGCTTTGTTTGGATGGGGTGTTCTCTTCTTCCACTGGGAAGTTAGCCATTCAAGTCAGCTTGTTATTCATTAAATCCTTCAGCCAATATCTTATGTCTTTTGTTTCAAGTTTCAACTGGTTCAGAAGCTTTACATGTCATTTGCGTTTGTGATAACTTGATATACGTTAAGTTATATCAACTTTTTCTCTTCTCCCTCCATCCCATTGGACTTTGCCAACTTTCCCTTTTTGGTTGTCCCAAAAAACTTTGGCACTTTCATATTAAAGCAACTAATTTGTGGTTCTGCACATTTCTCTCTCCTCTGCACAAATCTCAACCACACAGTTTTTACTATTCTTATTTCTCACATACTTTGCATAGGACGGAGGTAGTACTATAATAACTGCAAGATATGATGAAGCTATAACTGCTCCACCCTCATCTTCATCCACTGAAGGAACAATGACCACACTTTCTACTATCCCAACCCTTAAGCAATACTTGAACAAGCAATTCTAGAAATGGCTGTTCCAGAAACAACTATGATAAAAAGAATAGGTTATTATTACGCAACAATGTACACTGTTGTCACGTCATCCATAAGATAATGTCTAGACACGCGCAACAGCGCGCAAGATTCTTGTGTATGAGGATGAGATGTTCTAAATTTAATGCCAAAGTTTTGTACTTCCTCCGTCCCCCTGTTATTGTCCCATTGCGGTTTACGATGCTTGACTGACGATAAAGCAAACAGATCCCTGTCCGCACTAGAATTATTTTTTGAAAAAAAAAATTACATATTCAGAAACTACATTAAAAGTTTTACAAAGTCGCAAAAACCAGAATCAAATTTGATAAAAAATTGATAAATAAAGTAAGAGATTAAGAGTGATTTGTGTTGACCAAGTGAATAGGAAATGGGACAATAATAGGGTGACGGAGGGAGTAATACGTTTTGAAGAATCAATAATTTAATACCAATGCATAATTTCTTAACGAAAAAAGAGGGGGAAGTGGAAGGAGGGAAGCGAATGGAGTAGTGGTCCACTGGCTTCCCCCTTCTGTTGTCAATGTAAAGAGTACTTGTGGTGTCCTGAATCGATCTGGCCGGATTGTTCATCTCTTCTTAGAATGGTCTCACATCATCATGGATAAAAAACTAAAGTTTTGTGAAAGAACTAAGCATATAGAGCTGGACTTTCATTACATATTTTCATCCTTGAGAATATAAGATTGACGCTTGAGAGGGTGTTAGCTTAAGCATTTATGTTACACGCTTAACCTCTGTATGCACTATGCGTGTATCTTGAGCTTTGGTGTACTCTATTCCGGTATTGGCTCCATATATTCATCTGGGGCCCTGAAGGAAATCTAACCTCTGCCACAGGGTGTTGAGAAAAAACCATTTGAGTGGACATATCCCAGATACAATTTTAAATATCTACAGCTCAAAATAACTTTTAGTTTATTTTGACCCGTGTTTCCTTTTTTGGTTAAGCATTGAGAGAAAACTCTGTTCTGATCTCCCTCATCATTCTGTTTATGTCACACTTTTGGTCTTTATGCTTTTGCTTACAGGGATCTCTCTTCCAATGATCTGGTTGGAGGTGTTCCGTTGAAGCTGTTTTCAGTACCAATATACAAGTAATTCCAGTATTTTACTGCCTATTGTCATGGTTGTCATCTAAATTCATCATTGAGACTCTCTGCACCCTTGCTTATCAAGAATATAATATTGGCGTAGAAGAAAATGATCTCTTGGAGCTTTATAAATCTCGAGGAGTAGAATTGAATAGAAGACCTTGGTGCTTCCATATCCTACTAATCCTGTGGTCAAACTAAGTTACATAAATAAACAAGACCCTGTCTTAATGTGTCCCTGAATTGGTACATTTCAGGATAGAGCACTAGTTTGAGCTTGTGAGGACTCATTTACCAAAAATTCTTCCTAATCTTAGGTAACTGATAGCTAATTGAGATCTACATATTATTCTTATCATATCCCACTAATCAAGGTAGTAAATGCTTATAAACATGATTTGCTGTCGCCTGGTTTCCTGGCTTGGAGTAACATTTGTTCCTTTTTCTAATGTGTTGCATTACCAGTTTTTCGAATACCCAACTTAGATGTGGCAATGGTTCCCATCAACCTTGTGCCTCAAGCTCCTCTGTCCCAGGTCTGTTTCCATAAGTTCATTTATTCCCTTCGACTTGGCATACTAAGCATACTAAGAACAGAGACTTATTTGTCGACTATGGTTGTTACAGCAGTTACCCCTGGAAAATCAAAGCTTGCGATTGTTATTATCGGTGCAAGCTGTTGTGCTTTCATTCTGCTCCTACTTGGGGCTATATTCATATGTCGATACAATCTCTTTTGTAGGGCCGAAAGAGACATTTTTGTTGATGTGCAAGGTATATTTATGCGTTCTCATTTTTTCTTTGCTACTATTTAGAGGACTCCAGTGTAGGCATTAAAGTCCCAGTTGACCTGTGTGGCAAGCAATTTGGAAATGAACTCATACTCATCTTCTAGGTGAAGATGAGCGCAAATTCTCCTATGGTCAGATAAGAAGATTTTCTTGGCGTGAAATACAAATTGCAACTGAAGATTTCAAAGAGGGCAACATCATAGGGAAAGGGGGCTTTGGTAAAGTCTACAAAGGTCTTCTGTCAGACAAGACAAAAGTTGCTGTCAAACGACTGGAGAATTACAACAGTCCCGGGGGAGAGGCGGCATTTTTAAGAGAAATCCAGTTGATAAGTGTTGCAGTTCATCGAAATCTCCTCCGCTTAATCGGTTTCTGCACAACCCCATCTGAGAGAGTTCTTGTTTATCCCTTTATGCAGAATCTGTCTGTTGCTTATCGTTTAAGAGGTATTATCATTTTTATTCATCTTGTTTATGTCTTACCCCTTCATTTCTATTTTCATGATATTTAACATGTGTTTTAGGATGTAAAGAAATGTCTTGATTTTTATTCAATAATTCTGCCAATCAAATGAATATGCATTCAAGTTATTTAGATATTTATGACCTATTCACTTGGACTTTTTCCAGCTCTACAACCGACCGGACTTAACATTAAAGACCAGAACTAATCAGATTAAGCCAGACTTAAATAACACAAAAGTACACACAGTAAATTACTTTAACACACCATATCAATCCAGACCAGATCAGTAGATTTTTTTCACACCATATCAGTTACCCATGTGGGGAAACATCACCTTCTCTTTTATCAAACTATTTCTTTGGATATCTCAAAGAGCAGTAATGCCAGCTTCTATTTGAATGCAATGTCATGCTTTTGAAATCGATTTTAGCAAAAGTAGGATCTCTCCAGTAATTTGTTTCTCTATTGTTTGCTGAGAGTAGAAGTGAGACCAGGGGAGGAAGGCCTGGAGTGGCCAGCAAGAAAACACATAGCTTTTGGAGCAGCGCGTGGACTAGAGTACCTACACAAACATTGCAACCCAAAGATCATACATAGAGATCTAAAGGCAGCAAATATCCTCCTAGATGATAATTTTGAGCCCGTACTTGGAGATTTTGGGTTAGCAAAACTTGTTGATACAAAATTGACACATGTGACTACTCAAGTCCGCGGAACAATGGGACACATTGCCCCAGAGTACTTGACTACCGGAAAATCATCAGAGAAAACAGATGTTTTTGGATATGGCATCACACTTCTAGAGCTTGTAACAGGAAAACGTGCTATTGATTTTTCTCGTCTGGAAGATGAGGAAGATGTTTTACTACTGGATCATGTAAGTTTTGTTCCTCTTTCTCAAGAATGTTTATTTTTCCATTTTAGGGTTGTTTGGGTTAGCAATGTGAAAACATGCTTTGTGGTTTCATATTTCTATATTTCCAAAACATCATTATTATTCTTATTATTATTTAAAAACAATGTTGTTTCAAACCTGTGCTTTTATTGATTGCTTGTAGGTTGCTGTTTGGTACAAATGTATTTTGACGTGCTTTAAAAGTAACTTTTTGGATGTCTTTGATGCTAAATGGTTGACTTAGGGTTTTGAACTGAATTTGCTTAGCTGAAGACCCCTTTGTGATCTTTGTTTTGGTCTTGGCATTGATTATGAATGGCAGAGCCAACAAATATAGTATGAGGGGGTGTTTGATATATAAAAATCTATGTAGGGAGCGGTTCCATTGGGAATCATGCTTAACGTGAGAATATGGGAACCACGCACTTTTAACATAATTTGGTGCACTATGAGGCTCATCTATTGCACTTTTTAAACATGGGTCAAAACATGCCAACATCAAATAAATGTGGTGGCAGATATGTAAATATTTCATCAACACGAAAATGTGCAAGATAATAAGCAATATAGTGCATCACATTTGATTAAAAGTGGAGTTGTCACGTTCTCACGTTAAGAATGGTTCTCATTTGATCCTAAATACACACACACACATAGGGGCCTTATATATATATATTAGAAAAAAGAGATATTACCCGAAATAGGACTAAAACATTTTGAAAATTCCAAAATAGGATTGTCATGTTTTTATTCCCAAAATAGGACTAATTACTGTCATGTTTTGGCAGTACTAGACTTCAAACATGTCAATATTTTCTAAACATGTCAGTAATTAGTCCTATTTTGGGAATAAAAAACATGACAGTCCTATTTTGGAATTTTCAAACTGTTTTAGTCCTATTTCGGGAACTTTCCCTAGAAAAAATGCATATTTATAATCTTGCTAAACATATTAAGCTTATGTTACACTGTTATTTTTGTGTGTTTTAACTCTAGAGCGAGTTTATTTTGGATATTTATTGTCATTAGTTATGTGATTATATTTTAATTTAATGCTCTATTCATGTTATTATAAAATATTTTAGACGTGGTTTTGACCTATTTAAACTAAAGAAAATAAAAGTAAATAATCATATTCATAATATATTTCAAGCTAGTTTGAAATTATTATTGAAAATTTGTACATGAATATTGAATATAGGTCAATAATCAAAGAGTGAAAAAAGCTTAAAAAGTTGCTAGTCAAATACATTTATTTTGTCAAAATTAAATTATTCTTGTACATTTTAAATGTAACTTTGCGATGATCGTACCAAATAGCAAAAAGAACATAGTTTTTCTCAAAGCATATCCTGAGTAAGGTTGGAATTATTTCAAGAATTTATACATTATTTGATACAGGTCAGTGTTTAAAGAAGGGGAAAATGACAAAGTTGTTTGCTTTGAAAAAACTAAAAGATAAGCACAAAGGTGGGATTGAGACCTGGGTGATAAGTAATAGCCTAAAAGATCTAAAGAAGCACAAAGCCACACTAAAAGCACCTAAGAAAGAATCAAACCCTGGAAAACAAGTTTCATAACGATGCATCACCCATCGCAACTATGAGATCCATTTGGTTTGAATCTTGTGGATGCATATATTTTATATTTTTACCTGAGAGTATACACTAGAAAAAACAGAGATGGGGGTGCCGGAACCTGCTAACTCCTTGATCCACCAGTATTGATGATGGCATATTATGATGTTCACCGACTGAGCAATTTTCTAATCCTAAAATAATGTTTAAAGTTAGAAGCAATGATGATGTGAGATGTGAGATGATTTTACTCCAATAGTTGATAACTTTTCCAAAGCATTTGTATGTTTTAAATCACAGAATAATTTTGTTTTTCAATTTCTAGTCAGGCCCGTGCATGTGCAGGTCTTGGTTCTGTCAATTATCATATGCGCCTCCAAGTGATTGCACATCTGTTTCTGGTTCAGTGATTTCCCACATGTTTGTAAATCCTTCAGGTCAAAAACTTATTGAGAGAGAAAAGGCTGAATGACATTATGGACCCAAACCTGAAAAACTATGATGTAAAAGAAGTAGAGATCATCCTTCAAGTTGCTTTGCTATGCACTCAAACATCGCCTGAAGATCGTCCAAGAATGACTGAAGTCATAAGCATGCTTCAGGGTGTGGGGCTGACTGCGAGATGGGCAGAGTGGGAGCAGCTCGACGAAGTAAGGAATCATGAGTTTACCAATGTTGGCCACAAATTTTTGTGGGGTGAAGATTCTACATATGATCAAGAAGCTGTACAGTTGTCTGAACCCAGATAAGGAGCTGAAAGAATCAAGTTAAATCAATGATGCTTTGGTGTCTGTAGATTTTACATCACTATAGCATAACTTCTTGCGCAACATAATGTGTAACATAGTATTTTCTTTCTTATACTCCATATATTGTTATATTTTGGTTGAGTCCTCTCGAGTCTCGTCTATTAACTTATGCATCCTTCATTCAGTCCTATAGCAAACTGATACTTCAAACTCGTGACCTGGAAATATGTAGGCTTCTTCATGGAGATAAGCCCTGGAATTTTTGCACGTGCTCACTTCATGAGCAATCTCACATTCTCACTTCATGTTTTCATCAACATACATCTTAGTAATCCATACTCCAGTATCATAGCTTGCCTCATTGTAGACTTTATGTCACATCTATGGTGGATCTTGTCCATTCAGGAACCTGACCTGCCAATTCCGGTTCTATGAAACTGCTTCCGCGTACTAAAGATGTTTTCAGTTCCATAGTTATAAAATACATAAAGATTAGACATTTACCAGACCAGATCATACAAGATCAGATCAGATCGACAAAAGTCCAAAAGAAAACATCCTAATTAGTACCTGGTTGGGTAAATTGGATTTATCAAATTTTTAGATTTCATTTTACTATGCTCAATATAAATACAGAATTTAAACAAATAAACTACTCACTACTTAAGCACACAAATGAACGAATTATAGGGTTAACTTAGAAGCTGTAATCAATAAAAATATAGTTTTACTGATCCAAAAGTGAGGCCTTTGAAGTCTAATCCTTGAACTACGTCAATGTCCTCAAGTAATGCTTCTTCTGAGCGGATTTGTTTTATCACTTCTCTGATTACAAGAGATTTATATAGACATCCAAACTTAATTAATTTGGTCCTGTATAATATCTTTGAGTTTCTTTCTTTGAAGAGAAATCCATTAACTATCATTCAAAGAATCCGAGTTTAGTACATGAATGGTGAAAGGAGGTAAATCATCCCAATAAATACAGTCAGGCATAGAACAAGCGACTTTAGCTAACTCGTGAGTCGCTCTATTCGCTGACCATCTAATGTGAGAAAAAGAGATGTCGGTAAAGCCTGAAGAAATCTCTCGAATATCACCAATCCCTGCTAGAGAAACACTCGACTCCTGAAGAACCTCCGTCACAGCCCCCGAGGAGTCTGACTCCACCTGAATACAATCCCAGCCTCTTTCTTTCATCCAGCTCAAGGCCTCTCTAATACCAATTAGCTCAGCTTCCAAAGGAGACAAAACTCCATGCCAAGCCTTCCCCACACCTGTAACAAAATTCCCTGCATCATTTCGTAATACCCAACCCAGACCACAAATCTTTTCTCTCACGGCCGCATCCACGTTCAACTTGTATCTTACTGGAGAAGGTTTCCTCCAAGCTGAATTTGCAGCCCTTCCAATATTGCTTTCCCGACCTACTGGTTGCTGTGCAAGTCTCCAACCATCAAGGTACATCCTAGTATTCACAAGGATCTGTTTTGGGTCTGAAATGACCCCATTCCAGGTCCTATTATTGAGTTCACACCATAATCCCCAACACACCCAAACCAACATGCACAAATCATCCTCTTTCCAAGCTTCAAACTTTGCCCAGATCTGCTCCAAAAATGACTGTGCAGGAGAAGCCGACCAGCTCCAACCTATCAATTCCCAGGCCACCATTGCTACCGGACATGTCACAAAGAGAAGCCGCAACGTCTCCTCCTCTCTTCCACACAAGCCGCAGAAGGACGCACAATTTACCTTCCTAAGTTTTAGATTGATTTTCGTAGGAAGCAAATCACAACAAACCTGCCAGAAAAAGAATTTCACCTTGGGAGGAAGCTTCCATCTCCAAATCTGGGTCCATCCACACCACCCATCATTCTCAAACTCCCCAACCGGCACTCTATAACAGCTCCGAACCAAAAACTTTCTAGATTTCTCCCACCGCCAGCAAATCCTGTTAGAAACCAATCTATGGCTAATCGGAATTCCATTGATGAGGTCAATATCCCGTTGTTCAAATAACTCTCGCAGAATGTCAGCATCCCAATCATTTCTTTCATTACACAACAAATTACAGACTTTTGCCTGCTCCAATCCCAAAAATGGAGAAGAAATCACCTTGGGCTGACTCTTGTCTGGTAACCGGGGCTCGGTCCAAATACTTACAGAGACCCTTTGGCAACCCTCATTTTCGGCTTATCAGACTTATCAGCCAACTTTTTTACCAAACACGTAAATTTTGTTTTCGCGCCCAGAATTGTGTAATAAGCCGAAAAAATAAGGTTGAAGTTACTTTTCTGGCTGTATTGGCTGAAGTTACTGTAGATGACCATTTTAGCTATTTTTACATATAATTTTTTCTTTATTTTATTAATAAAATATATTTTAAAAATATTTTTTTCTTGTATCAGCAGAATCAGCCAATGCAGCCACTTCAGCCAGAATTTCATAAATTTCAGCAGAATCAGCCAAAACAGCCGATTTTCATGTTGCCAAACGGGCTCATAGTCTTTCCATCTCCCACACTCCACTGATAGCCTTCTTTAATGATATTCCGGTAGGCTCGGTCAAAAAATGGTGACAACTTCGGTATTCATATAAAAAATGGGGTACCGTACCAATCATTCACTTGATTGATCTACATCATTATATCATTTTTAATTTAGATTTAAATAATTCAACTGCAACATTCTCATTGGTCCATGTGGACAAAGTTACGGTACCTTATGGGTACCATAGAATCTACCTCAAAAAATTCCCATCCCTAAAATACGAGGCCTTGAAACCCTTCCCACAAGAGACTCTGGTTCCGAGAAGTTCTCCAGCTTGTTTAGCCAGCATGACCAAATTAAACTCTCTGAGTTTTCTAAAACCCAACCCTCCCACATTTTTTGGCCAACACATAAAATCCCAATTTCTCCATCTAATTCCTTTTCCGGATTTCCCTTGCCACCAATACCTATTCATAAGTGTTTCAATTTCCTTACACAATTCTTTCGGTAAAAGAAACACGTTCATGGCATACGTGGGCATGGCTTGAATGACAGATTTAAGTAGTACTTCCCGCCAAGCCTTAGATAAAAAACGATTGTTCCAGATTTGGACTTCCCGCCCAGCTTTTTCCGGATCTCCCTCGCCACCAATACTCATTCATAAGTGTTTCAATTTCCTTACACATATCTTTGAGTTTCTTAGTCATCCATAATGATAATTCTTTAATGTAGTCTTTAATTATTTTTACTTGGAAGGAAGGTAAGACACACTTATAACGTTTTTGTTCCCATTTAGATGGAATGTGCACCAGTTTGATAGTATTCAATTCTACATACTCTAATGAAATGAGGTCAACTTTCAATATGCTTTGTTATTGAATGCTGGGTTGGTCATCACACGCCTATAGTGTTTACTATAACGCCTCCTCTTTTATATTAGAATTATTAGAGGCTTAGTATTGTACTTTACATTAAACTCTCTTTAATATAAATATATCTGCCAGGGCTCCTTAGGGAGCAACCTTTCACATTATTCTCACATGGTATCAAGAGCACAATTTTTTCCCGATCCTCTCTCTCACTAAACCCTAGGCCGCCACCTTCTTCCCTATTGCCGCCGCCTCTTTGCCTTGGGCGCTGCACTCAACGGCCGCCAGTCTCCCCCCTCGACGACGAGCAGCGCTGCAGCATGACGTCCTCACCTTCCGCCTCATTCAGCATGACGGCATCACCTTCCCAGCCAGCCGACGCCCCTCCAACGACGTCCTCAGCTCTACCCGCCGGTGCTCCTTCGTCTTTTGGATCGCTGTCGGCCCTCACATCTGTCTCTTCCGGTGTGACTTTCTCCTCCGACTTTGCATCACCAAGCCAGATCTCTATGCCATACTCTCTGTTTCAGAATGTCCCACCGGTGTTCCCTTGGTCGGCTCCAATTCCCGTGCAGGCTGTCCCTCTAGAGCCGCCTCCCTTCTCGGCCGGACCCTCCTTTGCTGGCCCCACGTTCGTCGGCTCACCTGGTGTATCCTCTGTTGTTCCTCCCTCTCGCACACCAGCAGGCAGCCCGACCGGATCTATCCTCTCTGATATGGCTCAAACCATATCTCATGTGGCCACCAATGTCACAAATACTGTGACTACTAAACTTTTGGCGGTAAAAGACTACACCACTTGGAGGACACAATTCGAGTCGTTTCTGGTTTCCCAAGCTCTACTTGGTATGGTTGATGGCTCCATTCAGGTACCCTCTGCTTATTCCATAGATGCTCTTAACCGACAAACTCCCAATCCCGAATTTACCACTTGGTTTAGAATTGATCAAACAATCCATTCATGGTTATTTGCAACCCTATCTAGGGATGTTCTTATCGATGTGCGTGATTTAAAACATTCATATGAAATTTGGGAGCGGTTAGAGCCTCGGTTTATGTCTGCCAGGTAGCCAGGTCTATGGAATTAAAGCGTTTATTTAATCAAATTAAAAAGAAACCTGATCAGTCCATGAATAATTATCTGAGGGAATATAAAACATTAGCTGATGATCTTGCCATAATCAATTACCCTGTGCCTCCTCGTGAAGTGTTAAAAACTACTCCCTCCGTCCCTTATAACTTTGCTAACTTTCCTTTTTTGGATGTTCCATTAACTTTGCCACTTTATCTTTTAAGTAAAGAATTTGTGGTTTCAGTTAATTCTCTCTCCTCTGCACAAACCTCAACCACACAACTTTTACTTTATTAATCTCTGTGCCGGTCAAACTTGGCATAGTTATCAGGGACGGAGGGAGTACTATTATGGGACTCGGACCTGAGTATGAATCTTTATTCACTGCTGTGTCATTATTTGGACAAAATTTCCCGTTTGAGACTCTCCATAATCATCTTCTTGAGTTAGAGCAGTGAGTCATTTATCTCCGCTCCCAGGAGTCCTCGTCCTTCCATCAAACGTTTGGCACGGCTGTCTCCTCTCCCGGACAGTCGACTGGCCAGCAAATGACTCAGCCGCAGTTGGGGTCTACGTATCTGGTCGGGCAGCAGGCAAACCCGGTCGGGCAGCAGCGTCAATTTGGCGCTCCACAGCGCGGCAGAGGCCGCGGTCGTGGTAGAGGCCGCGGAGGCAGGGGGCACGGTCGTGGACAGCAGCAACCAGTACCATATGGCCAACAGCAGCCGTATTGGTACACTTAGGGACAATCAGTTTATTACCCCGGAGGGGGTGGTCAGCCGGGTACACCTGCAGGGGGTGTGACATCTACGTGTACTGTTATTTGTAATTCTGCTATGTCACATTTAAATATTAATGATTTACCTGTTTGTTTTACTAACCGTAGTTCTGCAGGCTTGCCATCAGTTGGGGGTATTCTAGGGTCTGTTCCCCATCCTGTTGTCTGTCAAATTTGCTTTTCTGCAGGTCATTCAGCCATAAATTGTCCTTCTCGTTTCACACAACCGTCCGCCCCTGCTCTGTTGACTACTCCCGGTGACACTACTCCTGCTCTATGGTTTCCTGATTCGGGAGCCTCTGCTCATATGACTGCATCTGAAGGTATTTTAGTTAATAAATGTCCCTACATCGGCTATAATTCCGTTAATGTTGCCAATGGTGCCCATCTTCCCATTTGCAATGTTGGTGATGTTGCATTACCTACGTCTCGTCGTCCTCTCACTTTAAAATCTGTTTATCATGTGTCTCAGTTAAAATATAATTTAATTTCAATAAAACGGCTCTGCGCTGATAATAATTGTACTTTGATTTTTGATAAAAATCTTTTTTGATTAAGGACAAAGCAACGGGGGCAGTACTTCTGCGAGCTACCAGTAGTGGGCCACTTTATCCCATCAGTCTGCCGTCATCATCCTCACCATTAGTTTTTGCTTCTGTTTTAGCTTCTGGTCCCGTGTGGTACCGTAGATTAGGTCACTGCGGTGATAATATTTTACATTTTCTTAAGAGAAAACATTTCTTATGTAGTCATACTCCCTTTACTCATGAGTGTGTGGCTTGTCGTTTAGGAAAATCACAACGTTCGCCTTTTATGGATGCTAGTCATAATTCTATTTTTCCACTTGAAATTATTCATTCTGATGTGTGGCAATCACATGTGTGCTCAATTTTGGGATTCAAGTATTATGTGTGTTTCATTGATGATTCTTCTCGTTCTACTTGGATTTATCCCATGTGTCACAAAAGTGAGTTTTTTATGCACTTTAAAAATTTTAAAGTCTTGGTTGAAAATCTTTTTAATCAGAAAATTAAAATTTTTCAAAGTAACGAGGGAGGTGAATTTGTTAATCATAATATGGAGCAATTCTTTTCTGCTAATGGTATTTATTTTCGAAAATCTTGCCATGACACACCTCAACAAAATGAGGTTGCTGAGTGCAAGCATCGTCATTTACTTGAGCTAACTCGGACCATGCTTCTTGAAGCTTTGGTTCCGAGTCACTATTGGGTCGATGCCATTTTTACTGCTGCATATATTATTAACATATTACCCTCTCCTACCTTAAATGACTTTTCTCTATACCAAAAACTGTTTAACCGTGTTCCAGATTACGCTTTTATGAGAGTATTCGGATCTGCCTGTTATCCAATTTTTTCGGCCACCTCAGCTAATAAATTATCACCTCGTTCACTTCAATGTGTTTTTCTTGGCTATGCATCTGGTTATAAGGGCTATCGTTGTCTTGATCCTATCACAGGTCGAGTCTATGTTAGTCGTCACGTTAGGTTTCATGAGGACACATATCCTTTTAAAACCCTCTCATCTGCTCCATCACATTCTATTCCTACTACACCGTCTTCTATGAACCTCACCGATATAACTATTGACCCACCTGCCCAGTCCACCACCACATTCCCGACCGAACTACCTCCACCGCCCCCATCCCCTTCTCGGTCACCCCTAAGTCCTACCACTCCTTATGTACCATCGCCCTATACATCCTCCCCTGCGTCCACAACCAGCCCACCACCATCTCCTACCTCCTCCTGTCACCACACTTCGTCCAGCCTGCCAGATACAACTTTCGACACAGCCTCGGCCGACTGTGTCTCACCCGAAACCACCTCACCTATGTCCACTATGGTAGTTAATCAACACCCCATGCAAACCCGCGCTAAGTCAGGAATTTTAAGCCTAAAACAATTTTTAAT